TTCAAGAAGTGTGTGTGATTTCAGTACTCTAAAGGCCCTAGGAGGCCTGAAAGGTGATTCATGATCAGATGTTGCAAGTGAATTTGCTCCTTCTGTTTAGTTTTCCCATGTTTCTTTTTTGATTAACTGCTTATAAGGATATTCTATATAAAGATTCCTGCTCATGGATATCAACTGATCTTCTCAAAGTTACTTTCAAACTACAGTCAAAAACAATTTTGGAAGATCCTATTTATCTCACACTGTATTATCCCCTATTGAATTCAACCACATTGAAGTATAAGATCATTTGTATATTTTATTGTAGACAAATTACTTCTAATACACAGATTACTTTGAGTTTGTCATTCCTGCTCTTTCTGTTTTTAATTTCAGCATATACAGAGTACAAATGCTTTGGCACATAAATGTCTTTGCATCACCAAAGGTCAGAGCCTCAAGCATGCCATCCCCAGATATTTCTTTTGTTTTCTGCTATATGCTTTTTTTTTTAATTCAGAAATTTACAGGATTACACATATTTTGGTTACATAATTTGCTTTTGTACAGTTTGAGACAAAGTTATATTTCTTCATTATCCCAATTAGTGTGCATATGCCCCCACTAGTGGAATTTACCATGCCCTTCCCACTCCAACTGCCTGACACCCTAATTGAATGTTATCTCCATATGTGCACATTAGTTGGTGATCGATTGTACCAGTTTAATGGTGAGTACGTGTGATGTTATGTTTCCTTCTCATAATACTTCACTAGAAGAATGGGCTTAGCTCCATCCAGGTATACAAGAGGTGCTAGATCACCATATTTTATGGCTGAGTAGTATCATGGTAACATATACACATTTTATTAATGCCACCCATGTATTGATGGGCACTGGTTGTTTCACATGTGCAATGTGAATTGTGCTGCTATAAACATTGGTGCAGTTTTTTTTTTATAGAATGTCATTTTTTCCTTTGGTAAATACCAGTGTGGGATTGCTGGATCAAATGGTTTAGTTTCTTTTAGTCCTTATGACCTTTCTCCATATTGCTATCCCACAGATGTTGTTGTTTGCAGTCCACCAGGGGTGTTTGAGTGTTCTATCTCTCCACATCCATGCCGCGTTTGCTGTTTTTGATAAAGCCTTCTCCTGCGGAAGAAAGTGATGTCTCATTGTGGTTTTTTTTGTTTTGTTTGTTTTTTTTTTGAGACAGAGTCATCGCTTTGTGGCCAGGCTAGGAGTGAATGCCGTGGCGTCAGCCTAGTCACAGCAACCTCAAATCCTGGGCTCGGAGTGATCCTTCTGCTCAGCTCCCGGGTAGTGACTACAGGCATGCGCCACCATGCCAGCTAATTTTTTATATATATATCAGCTGGCCAATTAATTTCTTTCTATTATAGTAGAGACGGGTCTCACTCATTGCCAGGCTGGTTTTGAAAAAATACTCCTGACCTTGAGCAATCGCCTGCCTCAGGTCCCAAAGCTAGGATTACGGCGTGAGCCACGCGCGCCGGCCTCATTGTGGTTTTGATTTCACTCCTTCCTCTATCATACCTGACTGCTCATCCTGTGTTTTATAGCTGTCATGACATTTAGTGTCCTGATTAGCACCTGTCTTTTATTCTGCTCTGTACCCACAGGTTGCTATATTCCGTAGCACGAGTAGAACACAAAATTTGCTCATCAAATACGTATTCCCAATGTAGTCTATACAGAAAGAAAAATGTACATTAAATCAACTTCATATGGCCCTGGATTCAGAGACGACGTTAATAATGATAAGCAAAAGTTTCAGTCAGACGTATGATTATTATGGACATTTGTTTTGATGATGCACATTATTCATTAAAGTGTGGAAGCTGGACGGGCGCGGTGGCTCAGGCCTGTAATCCCAGCACTCTTGGATGCCCGGGCCGGGCAGATCGCTCAAGTCAGGGAGTCGAAACCAGCCTGGAGCAAGAGCGAGACCCCGGTCTCTACTAAACTAGAAAAGAAATTAATTGGCCAAGTAAAATATATAGAAAAATTAGGCCGGGCATGGGGCGCATGCCTGTTATCCCAGCTACTTGGGAGGCTGGGCAGGGAGGATCGCTTGAGCACAAGGAGTTTGAGGTTGCTGTGAGAGGTAACACCACACACTACTAGCTCGGCAACAGGTGAGCTCTGTTTCAGAATAAATAAAAATAACATAAAAATAAAATAAAGTGTGGAAAGCTTGGTGTCCATGTGTAAGAGCTTGTCATCACGTGAACTGTTTGTTCACCAGTCTTATTGTTGCATTGTATCATCTTGCTGTTTCCACTTAAGTTTCCAGAGCTACCCACAAATATGGCTCCTTCCATTGTTCTAACAAATATATCCTCCTTTAATTTTTCATAAGCATTGGTGCAGGTAAGTGATAATAATTGTGTTTCACACCATCATCAGTTGTGTTATTTTCATTATACTCTAATTCTCTAAAATCTTCTGATCAAAGTATGACTCATATAATACCTTCAATTTCGCCCATGATGCCTCTGGGATAGAGACTTATCTCAGGAGTCACAGTTTGTTCTGCAGAGCACATATGTCCTCCAAACTCGCCTCATTATCAGAAGCAATCCTAAACTTATTTTCTGTAAATAGAACACGACCTCAACATTGAAAACGGAATAAACTGACCACAATGGCTCAGACAGAAAGTGCACTACTGCTGCACACGTGACAACATGAATTGACCTTAGAAACACAACCCAGAGACCACAGCTAAAATACAGGTTCTGGGGAGGCCACTCCCCCCCCTGGTCCCATTAGACACTAATGGCCATTACGCTAACAAATTTGATTAGGATGTCTTCCTACACAGAATAGTTAACTAATACAATCCATTGAGCAAACAGAACTGGGGGGCATTATAATAAGTCTGCCATTCTATTTTTGAATTGTTCTGATATTTGAAGACAGCGTCCATATTACTGGTGTGATTCATTTTATTTCAGATACTGCATCAAAAGTGAGAACACGGAGAGTTGCTCCAGGTAACAAGGAGCAGTTGGAAGGGAAAGCATGTTGTGCAGGAAAATGGACCTGGTCACGGTGAATGGCCTGGAATTCAAACGCACTTGTGAGCCATCCTTTAATCACGAAGATCGAGGAGCTCCTGAGGCTGAGAGAAATAGAAGATGTATGGTATGTTCATTCATTGTGATGATGACAAAATTTAGAAAAGGGGGGTGACTATGTCAATTGATGGCAATCCAAAGACCATGTTTTAGGTAGCCTGGACATTTTCAAGCAGAAACGGGACGTAATTCAATTAAAAAAAGATTAAAACCCACAAGCAACCTAACTACCACTAAATAAACCCCTCACGCATGGATGCCAACAGGTGGCTGTGCAATTGAAAAAGAAATATTTTGCATAATAATTGCAATATGTGGTCGGCGGTGGCTCACGCCTGTATCTAGCTCTCTGGAGGCGAGGCGGGCGGAGTGCTCGAGTCAGGAGTCGAAACAGCCTGAGCAGAGGCAAGACCCGTCTCTACTATAAAAATAGAAAGAATTAATTGGCCAACTAATAATATATGATATATATTAATCAGCCGGGCATGGGCTCGTGCCTGTGTCAGTACGTCGGAGCTGAGCAGGGAGGATCGCTTGAGCCCAGGAGTTTGAGGTTGGCTGTAAGCTAGGTGATGCCACGGCCACTTCACTCCTAGCCTAGAGCAAGAAGCGAGGACTCTGTCTCAAAAAAAAAAAAAAAAAATGCAAATATGGTGATTGAAAACTTTGCTTCCTCACCTTTGTCCTCGTGCCAGCTTTATAGCACAACTGGTGAGGCTACATGTCAATAGCTCTTTGTAGTGACTCACTTGGACATCATCAAGAACCAGTTTTTATAAATGGGTATAATGTATGGAACATGGAGTACTATTCAGCTCTAAGACACATGGTGACATAGCACATCTTATATTCTGGTTAAGCTGGAACCCATACTATTAAGTGAAGTTTCCCAAGAATGGAAAACAAGCACCCCACATATTACTCACCAGCAAATTGGTATTAACTGAGCAGCACCTAAGTGGTCACATAGGTACTGCAGTAATAGGTATTGGGCAGGTGGAGGGGGGAGGGACAGGTATATACATATAATATGAGTGAGATGTGCACCATCTGGGGGATGGTTATGCTGGAGACTCAGACTTTGTGGGGAGGGGGGAAATGGCATTATTGAAACCTTAAATCTGTCCCCATATAATGCTGGAAAAAAAAAAAAAAAGAACCAGTTTTGCCAGTGACTGTGGTGAGCTTTGTGGACATGAGCAAGAGAACAAGACCCCAACGAGAGACTAACACTCAATGACTAGTTATAAAATACTAGTATGTTAAAGTCTACATTTCAGGAAAAGCAGTTAAAATAGGGTTATAAAAATGGCAGTAGAAGTGCAAGTAAAAAACTATGGTCTCAGATTTTCTTACACTATAAAATTATTTAGGCATCAAGCAGAACCTTGGAGGTAAGCAAGAATTAATAAAATAAAAGTAAAAAAAAATATGAAAAGAGAGAAAAAAAATTTATTTAGGTGTCCTCAGTTACTAAGTGTATTTTTTTCTAAAGGAGCAGTACAACTCATGAATATTCCTTTAGTAAAACTTAAAGAGGAAAGGTGATATGACAGATGCCATGTGAGAAAAAATTATACTTTAATAAATTCATGTTGTCTTATGAATAGGAATTTCCAGGTATTTCTGATCCAAGGTTGGGAATAACATTGGGGAAAAAATAGGAAAACAACTAAAGAAAAAAAATTATCAGATATCAGAATGAACAAAAAGCCTAAGGAAGTAAGTTATTTCAATTGTATAGAGATGTCAATGTAAAAAAAAAAAGTGGAAATTGCAGGAAATAAATAGAAGGACTAGATTCTACTTTCACAATCTGATCAAAATTTCGCAGTTTCTGGCTCCAAGGCTTTGAGTTCTACAAGCACGGCTGTTTCTTCAGTTGCAACACAATTGGTCCTTTTATAGCTTCCCTCAGATGAATCGTTTCAGAGCCCTCTTTATGTCTTTATTCCTCAGGCTGTAGATGAAGGGGTTCAGCATGGGGGTGACCACCGTGTACATCACCGAGGCTGTTGTGCTGGAGTGGGAGTTGTGGGTTGCGGCAGAACTGAGGTACACCCCCAGGATTGTGCAGTAAAACAAGGAGACAACCGAGAGGTGGGATGCACAGGTGGAAAAGGCTTTGGACTTCCCCTTGGCCGAGGAGATTGCCCGTATGGAGGAAACTATCTTAGAGTAAGAGTAGACGATCCCAGCCAGGGGACAACCAGCCAGCAGCACAGCTGCAAAATAAATCACCATGTCATTGAGAAATGTATCAGAGCAGGCAAGGCGGACCACCTGATTAAGCTCACACAAGAAGTGGGGGATTTCCATGTGTGTGCAGAAGGACAGCTGCGCCACCATCAAGCTTTGTAACAGAGAATGCAGAGCGCTGATGACACCAGACACCACAACCAGCAGCCCACAGAGCCTGGGGTTCATGATGACCGTGTAGCGCAAGGGGTGACAGATGGCCACGAACCGGTCATAGGCCATCACGGTCAGGAGGAAGTCATCTAACCCTGCAAAAAGCAACAAAAAGTACGTCTGGGTGATGCAGCCTGCATAAGTAATGACTTTACTCTGCGTCTGAATGTTCACCAGCATCTTCGGGATGCTCGTGGAGGTGAAACAGATGTCCACAAAGGACAGGACAGAGAGGAAGAAGTACATGGGCGTGCGGAGGTGGGAGTCTAAGATGAATGCCAGGATGATGAACAGGTTCCCAAACACGGTGATCAAATACATGGTGAGGAACAGTCCAAATATGAGGGGCTGCAATTCTGGTTCCTCTGAAAATCCCAGGAGAAAAAATTCTGAAATCCGTGTATTATTTCTTGGTCCCATGTGTTCTATCAGTGAAGAGAAAACTAACATGATTTTTTCTTGCTGAGTTGCTTGAGTTCTTTATAGATTCCAGTTAACAGCCCCTTATCAGACGGATAGCATGCAAATATTTTCTCCCATTCTGTAGGTTGTCTATTCATGCTAATGATTGTTTCCTTGGCTGTGCAAAGCTTTTTAATTTGGGCAGCTTCCATTTATTTATTTTTGTTGTTGCCTTGATTGCTTCTGGGGTCTTCTTCATAAATTCTTTGCCTAGATCAACGTAAAAAGTCGGCAAAAAACATGAACAGAAACTTTTCAAAAGAAGATAAACTAATGGCCAACAAACATATGAAAAAATGCTCAGCATCTCTAATCATCCGGGAAATGCAAATGAAAACCACAATGAGATACCACCTAACTCCAGTGAGAATGGCTTTTTATCAAAAAGTCCCCCCAAAAAACCAAATGGTGGTATGGATGTGGAGAGATAGGACCACTCGTACACTGCTGGTGGGGCTGCAAACTAGTACAACCTCTACGGAAAGTAGCATGGAGATACCTTAAAGGACGAAAAGTAGAACTACCATTTGATCCAGGAATCCCACCACTGGGCATCTACCCAAAGGGAAAAAAAAGACATCCTATAAAAAAGACACTTGCACTCGAATGTGTGTAGCAGCACAATTCACAATTGCAAAGATAAAAGTCTCATTTGGGAATATATGACATTAGGTCCCCCTGTTCTGAGGACTGTTCATGCCCCACAAAACACACACACACACACACACCACACAACAGCCTCCTGGAGCATGCTCCCAGCATGTCCCTCTCACCCCCAGCCACGCTGATTAGGAAAAGAATGGACGCAAGGCAAACTGTCAACGTCAGATGATATTTCCCCTGATGAATGTAGAGACAGGCAAATTCCAGATAACCTCCCATGGATGTCCCATCAATGCTCCATGATGATATGGCCATTTTGGGCCCTGGATTTAAAGAAGCATTTAAAAAATCTGCTTAATAAACAGAAAGCTAAAATGAGCATGGTAGGAGGAAAAATACTTAATATACTTAGGCGGTCCCTGAGGAATTGTAAGGAAGAGAAAGTTTGCTGGGCTCTGCAGGCATTCCAACTCTGGTTTTATCCCCTTGATGTGGAGAATAAGTAATAAAGCACAAGAAATTTATCTGAAAGAGAAAAGAGGGATGTCTATACAATGTCAAGTCACCTTGCAGATTGCACACTGCATTAGGAAAATGAACAAGAGGAGTCAACACACCAGTTCACAAAAGGAAATAGGCAAAAGTAGAGAATTTGGAAAGATGAAACAGTCAAAGATTTTAATAAATGATATTAACTGCAAATCTTACGGGAATCAGAAAACCAGGTTTTGAATCTTAGATCTACCACATAGTGGCTGTTTGAACTTGTAGAGCAGACCCAAGTATTCTTTTTTTTTTTTATTTCAGCATATTACGGAGGTACAAATGTTTAGGTTACGTATATTGCCCTGGCCCAATGTGAGTATCTTCTCCTATATAGTGGGAATAGTTGTATCCATCCCCTGGGGCGGCCAACAGACTTAGTCGATATATCTAAAAAGCTTAGCATAGTTCCTTCCTGTTAAATGAACAGTTATCACTGGTGATGATGACATGAGGCTAACTTTGTCCTTCTACTTCTCAAATGTCATCATTCCTTTCCCACCTCTCATTCTCCAATTCCAGATCTTTCATTTATTTATTTATTTAGAGACAGAGTCACAGGCTGGAGTGCCGTGGCATCAGCCTAGCTCACAGCAACCTCAAACTCCTGGGCTCAAGCGATCCTCCTGCCTCAGCCTCCCAAGTAGCTGGGACTACAGGCATGCGCCACCATGCCCGGCTAATTTTTTCTCTATATATTTTTAGTTGGCCAAATAATTTCTTTCTAGTTTTAGTAGAGACGGGGTTTTGCTCTTGCTCAGGCTGGTTTCGAACTCCTGACCTTGAGTGATCCACCCACCCCAGCCTCCCAGAAAACTAGGTTTACAGGCGTGAACCATTGCACCTGGCCATAATTTATTTTTTTATTTCAGCATATTACAGGGGTACAAATGTTTAGTTTACTTATATTGCCTTTGCCCCACCTGAGTCAGAACACTCATACACGTCTGGTGGGACTGCAAACTAGTACAACCTCTGTGGAAAGTAACATGGAGATACCTCAAAGAGCTGCAAGTAGAAGTACCATTTGACCCAGCAATTCAATTCCTGGGCATCTACCCAAAGGGAAAAAAAGGCATTCTATAAAAAAGACATCTGCACTAGAATGTTTATAGCAGCACAATTCACAATTGCAAAGATGTGGAAGCAACCCAAATACTCATCAATACAGGAGTCAATTAATAAAATGCAGTATTTGTATATCATGGAGTTCTACTCAGCCACATATTTTTTAAAATTATTTTTAATTTTTAATTGATACATGAGAATTATACATATTAATGGGGTACATAGTGATGTTTGCATACATACAATGTATAATGATCAGATCAAAGTGGTTGGTATATCCATCATCTCAAAGATTTGTCATTTCTTTGTGTTGGGAACATTCTATATCCTCCTTCTGGCTATTTGAAAGCATATAGTATATTCATCTTATTGTTAGTTATGGTCATCCTACATTGCTATAAAACAGCAGAACTGTTTCCTCCTATCTACCTGTAATTTTTTATCCATTAAAGTAACCTTCCCCTACACTTCCCAACTGCTCGTTAATCTTCTGTTCTACTTTTTATTTCTACGAGATCAACTTTTTTTGGTTTCTGCCTATAAATGAGAACATGCAGTGTTTTTAACTTTTTGTTCCTGGTTTGTTTCACCTAACACAGTGTCCTCCAATTCCACCCACGTTGCTACGAATGATTGGATTTCATTCTTTTCATGGGTGAATAGTATAACATTGTGTACATATATATATATAGATACACACACCACATTTTCTTTATCCATTCATCTGCTGTTGGACACTTGGGCTGATTTCCTATCCAGGCTACTGTGAATAGTGCTGCAATAAACACGGGGGTGCAGATGTAGCTTTTAAATTATGATTTCCTTTCTTTTGTATAAATGCCCAGTAGTGGGATTGCTGGATCACAGGGTAGTTCTCTTTGTAGTTTTTTTTTTTTTTTTTGGAAACTTCCATATGGTTGTCTACAGTGGCAGTACTCACTTACATTCCCACTAACAGTACATAAAACTTTCTGTTTCTCTACATCCTCACTAGCATTTGTTCTTTTTCCTCTTTTTGATAATAGCTATCCTGAGGTGAGATGATACCTCATTGTGGTTTTGATTTGCATTTCCCTGATGATTAGTGATGTTGAAGATTTTTTTTTTTTTTTTTTGTATATCTGTTGGCGATTTGTATGCCTTCTTTTGAGAAATGTCTGTTCAGATTATTTGCCCATTTTTTTTTTTTTTACTTGGGTTGTTTGTTAGAGTCTCTCCCAACTACCCCAGGCTGGTACCAATGGGAAAGACATTCACATTGACCCAGAGAGATCTTTCTATATTACAAAGATGATCACCCAAACTCTGGACATAGCCCCCCATGACTCCTCACTGGAAAATGAAGGTATTTAATAATGTTCTGTAGCTTCGAACCCCCAGTCCCTGTGACTGACCCGTTAGCTTAAATTTCACACTGTTCTGCCCCCGCCCACGTTCATTTCTCAAATATTGAACTTGACTCCCTTTGGAAAACTTAATTTATTCTTTCAATACTGCCTGGAGTCATCTCCTTCATGAACTTTTTTTTTAACATCTCACAGTTCAACAACACTTGCAGCATGGCTTACTGTAGACATATGGATTGCAACGGTGTTGCCTCTACTTAATTCCATTTCTTTTTTCACTTCTAGACTGTGAGAGCTGCCAACCATGTAGAAATGTACATATCCCTCTCCTCACCGCCTGACTTAGTTTCATTGGCAATGGAAGGTGAATAAATATACATTGTATGAACAAATGAGAGGATGGAGTATCCCAGAAATTTCTGATGAGGAGAGAGAAAGAAGAACTAGGGAGATGCTAATGTAAATGTGAAGAATATGCTAGCAAAATATTTTCCATATTCAGAGAGCAGGACCTATTAGGGGGTCCGACAATGGTTTGTGAGAATTAAACAGAATAGAATGAATAAAATGCAAAAGAAAATATTCGAGTGCATCATACATAGTTAAGGGTACTTACAAAAGTGTTTCATGATACTGTCTTTGTTCAACCTTTGTGTGCGTGTATGTGCATGTGTGTGTATTTGTGTGTGCACATGTGCTTGATCACAATGTAAAAGATAATTCTTAGTCTGGGACATACTCATAAAGTTTGGAATCCACTGCAGTAAAGGAAAGAATAGTTTTTTTGTTTGTTTTTTTTTTGAGACAGAGTCTCACTTTGTTGCCCAGGCTAGAGTGAGTGCCGTGGCGTCAGCCTCGCTCACAGCAACCTCAAACTCCTGGGCTCAAGCGATCCTCCTGCCTCAGCCTCCCAGGTAGCTGGGACTACAGGCATGCGTCACCATGCCCGGCTAATTTTTTCTATATATATATATATTAGTTGGCCAATTAATTTCTTTCTATTTATAGTAGAGACGGGGTCTCACTCTTGCTCAGGCTGGTTTCGAACTCCTGACCTCGAGCAATTCACCCGCCTCGGCCTCCCAGAGTGCTAGGATGACAGGCGTCTCATTTTTCTTAATGTGGCATTTTTTTCTTCTTGGGCTTTGAGTTTTGGTCTCTTTTCTGGCAAATCCAATGGGCACAATCTAGTTGTGGTTCTGTCTCTCTTTCAACGTGCAACGGCCTCCTCGGACGATACTCTGTAAAAGTCTACACATGCCAGGACAGTCTATGCTCTCTACCCATGTGACTAATCGCTGGTGACATTACATCGCTCTTGCATTTATTTCCTCGCACTCTGCCTATTCCATTATCGTGTGAAATCCAAGCGGGATAGGACCTCACCTGCTTAGCTCA